GGTCATTATCATGATGAAAAGCACTTATTATGCACCTGTGATATCTGCATCTGGAGTTGAGTTACCCCTGGAACAAAGCAAAGAGATATCCACAACACATGACCTCTGCTTGATTCCAGCCTGTGAATGGCAAAGAGTAAACACATGAGCAAACAAATAATGAATAACACATAAAATACTTTTTGCATTAGGAATAAAGAAATGATTGGAAGATAGCGTATGCCCAAACTCCACCTTGTCTAAGCATGCAATGGTGGAATTCTAAGAACACGCCTAGGAAGAGAATCTGGGAAATGAGATTATAGCAGCCTTCCTCTGGGAAGAATATCCTCAGTGGACACCTAGAAGGATCAGAAAGCTGTCTGCCAACCTTTAGTAGAATTATACCAAATAGCCATGTGCTGAATCTGGAACACGTCAAAGAGAGTGAAGATGTATTTAATTTTTGAAGACACTGAGCTGTCAGAAGGACTAATCCCCCAAAAGTGGAGAAGTGACATATTTGAAATCTATCAATTGCCTTTTATGTTCATTTGTCACCTCTAGGGGAAGCAAATAAAGTTTCTTCCTCCTCTTGAAGTGGATGATTAAAGACTGCTTAGAGTTGGGTGGTGGGAGTCTGTCGCCATTGTTGACTTTCTGTGAAAAGCACTTCATCTGCGGCTGCACTCGGTGCAGTGTCCGCACGCCCTGCGAGGCAGAAGTAAGCTAGTTCTAATCCTTGGTGGGCTGATCTGAATAGAGAATAATTACGCTCCTGTTAAAGGCAGAATTCCCCTCACCTTCGCCTTCCTTGCCTCCAAGTAGAACAGCAGATATTTGTTCCAGAGGTCTAGGGCTCTGAATGTTGCAGGGGGCTGTGGATGGCCTTCAGCAGAAAGGGGGAGGGGGGTGAAAAGGACTCACTCATTCACTCATTCATTCATCCATTCATTCATTTATTAATTATGGACCTACTATGGACCAAGCTTTGTGCCCGTCAAACAATGACCTCTCTTTTTAGGGAGCTCACTTCAGGGTTTGTGCAAAGCTTGGACTCAAGCCTTTTACAAAATCCCCCTTAAATTCTTTTATTCCAGTCATACTCAGGAATGCAGAGGATTAAACACAGCAACACACCGTTTATTCAAAGTCATTTGAAGTGTCGGAGGGGCTAGGGAGCCAGTCTAACCTAGCAACAAGTAGCAGTTATTGGAAATGTTTAGGAAATGGCATTGCTGTTATTTTTGAAGGGTATTTGCTAACTCAAACTTAATATTCTAAAGCTATTTCCCAGTGGAACAACTGGTTGAGAACATAGGACTTTTTCATGTCTAAATAGCATCATCTGTGTCTAAAGACCAGGTCACGTTTAGTGTATACATACTTTTTCTTAAGTAGATTCATCATTTTCTATTTAGACCTTGCTTAAATTATTTATTTATTAATGCCTTTACCTTTTTTAAGCTACAAAAGAACAGAACACACTTTAACCCATTTCAGGTAAAATTACTAAAGAATTTGAATTTTTCAGACTGAAATAATAGGGCTTGACTTCCTTAGTTAATAAGTGTTAACTTCAGTGTGCCTTACATTTCTAATACTGCACCAGTCATAAATCAGTTAATATGAAGGTTGTGATTAATTGGAACACATTGTACACAGTGGTGCATGTTAGTGTGTGTGCATGTGTTTGTGTGCTTAGGGTTCAGTTGAAGATGCATGTAGGCCATAATGTTAAGTGAAAAAAATATAATACAAACCTCAATCCGTGCTATGATATATAGACAGGAGAAAGAGGTCAAAGGAAACACAAACACAGTTTAACACACTGGAGTGATGGGGTCGTGAACAATTTCTTTTTCAGCCTTACAAATTGTTTGTGCAATAAAAAATGGCTAAACAAAAATGGATCCAGACTGACCTGTTTGTTTGGAGTGGGTTTGAGAGGAGATTTGAGGGAGGAACCACTAAAAGGTTTGTATAGTTCAGACACACCTATAAATCTTACAGGGGGAATTTTCTGCTAGCTTCCATTATTTCTAAAATGCCACATGCCCAAGTGAAGGACTTCAGGTGAGAGCTATATAGAGAAGGGGTGGGGGGTGGAGGGAGCGGGTTTGGTCTGCATATTTTCAGTACCTAGAAGAAGAGTGAAGGAAGCTAAGAGTTTTATTTATACAATATTAAGTATTTTATATTGTTGAAAGTATTTGGATCATTCTTCTATCCCCACCTCTCCAAAATTACCTGGATGCAGAATATCTCATAGAGACAATCGAATGACCTAGCATAGAAATGAGTATCAAAAATATGTGGAGCATGCCAAAAATAATATTTTTGGTATTTGCAGATATTCTGTAGGCTCAGTGTTTTTATTTTGATGAAACAGTCTGCCAGTTAGAAGCAGGTGGTGAGATCTGTACTCATGGAAAGAGAGGAAAACACATCTGGTTAATAGGGAAATCGAAAACCGAAGGGGGAAGAACCCCTTGCCTGTGACAATAGATGCTGTATAAAATTGAGCCTCTTCATATTATCATGGAAATTACTTTTTGGCGGTAGTGCAAAATGGTTGTTATATGTTATTGTTAGTTGTGGTTGGAGACACAAAGCAATATGATCATTTGATGGCTTATTTGTTATTCAAAAAATGACAGCTTTTATGTGCCAGTAAATATGAAATCACCTGGAACTAGTCCTTTGAGTTTAGGAGCCATCTAAATGCCCTTGCTTAATGCATACAATAGATTTTAATGAAGCCATGTAGTTTATAGTACTTATCAAATTACCTGATGGCTCCGTCGTCAGCCATCCAATGAGGGAACACTATCTGCTTTGTGAATGCAAGACAGAGAAACCCATAACTTTGTCAGAATTTACAGTTGGTGGGCAGTAGCTTCATTGGAACCTGGTATGAGAGGCAATTAGTCTCCAATTTTATGTGCACCTTCCATCTTGTCCAGACTGTGGTTGACAGTCACAGCGTCCCCCTCACCCCACCGTGTCCCTTTTCTTCAAGAAGGAGAGGCTGAAAGAATGGCAAGTGACCTTGAATTCATCCTGGGTAACATAAACACATCTCCGGCTGAGTGTATCTTCTACAGATCCTCATGTGCCATTTGCAATGACAGGACACCATTTTCAAAGTTGACACTAACTATTCAGAAGTTTTAATATGACTGTCTCCAAATGCCTGAGAAAGCTCCATGCGTATACCAGGCACTTTGCTCTTTTATGATATGGCTCTATTTCCCACCCCACCCCCCTCTCCTTTTCCTGGAACTGCCACGTCCTTGGCTGGTAATCTTTAAACTCTGGGCTGCAGTGATTTCTCTTGGTACAGCCACACATTAAGCACATCTTTCATGCTTCTCTGAACCAAACCCCGAGACTGCCAATTAATAAGTAGATGGGGAAAAAGGCAATGGGCAACATTAAGGCCACCTGCCTGGAGACATTAGGTGCACAGTTTGACAGAGTGAAAGGAGACCTGCAGAGACTCGAGAATGAGGTACTTTATCACACATTCCTAGAGTCATAAAGCGAGAGAATAAAAAAAGTTTTCAGGGTTGCTCCTCCATCTCGCTCCATCTCGTGCCTGCTATGGGTCGTTCACATTGCTCTGGCAAAGATTACTCATCCCAGGGAGTGAGGAGAGCATCTGAACCTATGAATTTTTACACATTTCCATGGGAGAAAGACCTGATGATCTGCTCCCATAAAGATTAAACCAAACCAAACCCGCTGCTGTCGAGTCAGTTCTGACTCATAGCTACTCTATAGGACAGAGAAGAACTGCCCCAAAGGGTTTCCAAGGCTATAATCTTTAAGGAAGCAGACTGCCACATCTTTCTCCCATGAAGTGGCTGGTAGATTGAAACTGTTGACCTTTCCGTTAGCAGCCACACTTAACCAGTGCACCATCAGGGTTCCTTCTGTAAAGAAAACCCCATGGGGCAGTTCTACTCTGTCACATGGTGTGGCTATGAGTTGAAATCAACTGGACGACACCTAACAACAACAATCAAAACATGTTTTTTTGTCCATAGGCTGGAGATTTGAGAAGAGCATACTACTACTCTGTCTATGTAACTCCCATTCATAACTCCTCAAACTATTCTAGCCATCTAAGGCCATATGACTTCTCTGCAAACTTTTTCTTTCCATTAATTTGTTCTTTCATTCATTCACTTGACATTCGCTGATATTTATTGAGTACATAATACATGCTGGGCTTTAGTGTAGCTGCTGGAAATATGCCTGTGAACAAAACAGAAATATCCCTATTTTCATGGAGCTTGTGAAGGGGGAGTTACAAACAATAAACAAAATAAATAAACTGTATAATAGGTTAGAAGGTGATAGGGTTAGTGAGGAAAAAATAGAGCAGGATAGGGTGATTGCTGTTCAAGTGGAGAAAGACAACAATCCCCATCATGAATAAGCCTTGGTACAGTTACCAGGGAAACCTTTTGAGAGCCCGGTCTTTGACTCAAGACTCAGAAAATCAGTCTCAGAGTCGGATGGCATGGGATATTGTTGACGTGGAACAAAAGAGCTTGAGATAGAAGGGAAAAACAAATGAACTTGATCGACTCTGTATTTCTACCATACCCACACAGACTGTCACAAGTCTTGCTCTTTTGTCTTCCCAAAATGAAGAGAAGACCAAGCCTAGTAGGAAGGAGGACTGAGGCTAAGGGAAGAGAGGAAAATGTTCCAGACTAAGGAAGTCACCTTGGAATGAAACAAGGAGTCCTCCAGAAGAGAATAGAAAGCAGGCCTCTACTTCTTCTCCTTTCCTCTCCACCTTTTCTCCTTTCATTTCTTAGTGAAAATGGTTTCATAGCATTGGTCCAAGGTAGGAGAATACACTGGACAGGTCCTTGTTTAATCATGCATTCTTTGCCTGCCCTTTGACCCTCTCTTATCAAAATTTTAGCTCATTTTCAAGTTTTGTAAATTTCTAAACTTAACTTTTTGTGGTTTTCTTTTTCCCAACAATTTTTTTGCTGCAGATTATGTTACTCACAGATCCGGAGATTGAGAGCAGTTTACTGATCAGCTCAGACGAAGGAGCAACCTATCAAAAGTACCGGCTGAACTTCTATATTCAGAGCTTGCTTTTCCACCCCAAGCAAGAGGACTGGATTCTGGCCTACAGTCAAGACCAAAAGGTGAGCACGCTCACCTTGTTTGAGACAGCATGGCATGGTTCTCCAGGGGGAAATAAAACTGAACCCAAACCAATCCCATTGTCGTCGAGTCAGTTCCAATACTGTTGGTTAATCATGTCTACATTTCTTCTCAGTGATCGTTTTTGTTGTGTGCATTAGGCTGAATTCTATGCCAGGTGTGCAGGGAAGGGGTGTTGCGCAGCAAGCAAGACCTTAGATTGTTGGCTTGAGCTATGTAAATGTCTAAAACAGCATAAGAAGTAAACGTTACACAAGGGGGAGACATTGTAGAGAAGTAGTTCTTAATCTAGATGCTTCAGGCAACCAGGGCCCCCTTTTCCTTCTCCTACAGAATTCAAGACAGAGTTTTGTGTATGTGTACAGTTGATTATGTTTCTGGGTAAACGACCATAGCTTTTCTCAGACCCTCAAAGGAAAACGTGATCCCAAAAAGGGTAACAACACTAACTAGAGGTTTGCTAAACAATGAGAGAATTGACCAGAGAAATACTGTATTCTTACACAAATAACATGTGCCTTCTACATTTGTTTGCCAGCCGCTTCCTCCTCCAACGAGGTATTTTCATAAGTGCCTCTATGCCAATTTTTTTACATGTTGCTGTAAAAATAAATCAGCATAGGGCTCTTAGGAAAATACCTCATGGAGGGAGAGAGCTGTTGGCAAACAAATGTAGGTGTGTGTTATTTGCGTAAAAATATGATAATAATAATGTACATAAAACAAGACCAAATCCACTACCACAGAGTCAATTCTATCTCATAGTAACCCTATAGGACAGAGTAGAACTGCCTCATAGAGTTTCCAAGGCTGTAATCTCTACAGAGGCAGACTACCACATCTTTTATCCCGTGGAGCAGCTGGTGGGTTCGGACTGCCGACCTTTCAGTTAGCAGCCAGCGCTTTGACCTTGTGCCACCAGGGCTCTATGATAATGAACATACATAATATATTCAAGTTGTCTCACGACTTTTCTTCTATTGGTGTTTGGATTGAAGTTCTCAAAGTCCACTTCTCAAGAAACATTAAGTGAGGTTATGCTATGAAATATACGTGTTCTATAAAATGCCATACTGTAAACTATATTATATGTTATATACTACACCCATACTCTCGTCTGTCAATTTGTCCTACTGTGGTGGCTTGTGTATTGCTATGATGCTGGAAGCTATGTCACCAGTATTTCAAATACCAGCAGGGTTACGCATGGTGGACAGGTTTCAGCAGAGCTTCCAGACTAAGACAGACTAGGAAGAAGGACCTGGTGATCTACTTCTAAAAAAAATGACCAGTGAAAATCTTATGAATAGCTGTGGAACATTGTCTAATATAGAGCTGGCATATGAGCCCCTCAGGTTGGAAGACACTCAGAATATGAAGACCTGCCTCTTCAAAGTAGAGTCGACCTTAATTATGTGGATGGAGTAAAGATTTTGGGATCCTCCTTTGCTGATGTGGCACAATTCAAAATGAGAAGAAATAGCTGCAAACATCCATTAATAGTCAGAGCATGAAATGTATGAAGTATGAATCTAGGAAAATCAAAAGTTGTCAAAAATGAAGTGGAAGGCTTGAAGATAGATATCCTAGGCATTAGGGGGCTGAAATGAACTGGTATTGGCCATTTTGAATCAGGCAATCATATGGTCTACTATGCAGGGAACGACAAATTGAAGCGGAATGGCGTCACATTCATAGTCAAAAAGAAAGTACAACATTTCTAAAGTACAATGCTTTCAGTGATAGGATAATATCCATAGGACTATTATTCAAATTTACTCATCAACAACTAATACCACAGATGAAAACACTGAAGACTTTAACCAACTTCTGCAGTCTGAAATTGATCAAACATTCAATCAAGATGCATTGATAATTATTGGTGATTGAAATGTGAAAAACAAAGAAGGTTCAGTAGTTGGAAAATGTGGTCTTTGTAGTAGAAACGAATGACTTCCCCATTGCAAATACCTTTTACAACAACATAAGTGGTGACTATACACGTTGACCTTGCCGGTTGGGATACACAGGAATCAAATGGACTACATCTGTGGAAAGAGACAATGGATAAGCTCAGTATCATCCGTCAAAACAAGGCCAGGGGCCAATTGCACAAGAGACCATCAGTTGCTCATATGCAAGTTCAAGTTGAAGCTGAAGACAATTAAAACAAGGCCGTGAGAGCCAAAGTATGACCATAAGTATATCCCAGCTGAATTTAGAGACCATATCAATAATAGATTAGAGGCATAGAATACTAATGACTGAAGACCAGACGAGTTGTGGAATGACATCAAAGATACCATACGTAACGAAAGCCAAGAGGTCATTAAAAATACAGGAAAGAAACAAAAGACAAAAAGGATGTCAGAAGAGACTCTGAAACTTGCTCTTGAACGTCAGGTAGCTAAAGTGAAAGGAAGAAATGATGAAGCAAAAGAGCTGAACAGAAGTTTCAAAGGTAACTCAAGAAGACAAAGTAAAATATTATAATGAAATGTGCAAAGACCTGGAGTTAGAAAACCAAAAGGGAAGAACACACTTGGCATTTCTCAAGCTGAAAGAACTGAAGGAAAAATTTAAGCCTTGAGTTGCAGTATTGAAAGATTCTATGGGCAAAATATTGAACGATGCAAGAAGCATCAAAAGAAGATGGAAGGAATACACAGAGTCACTGTACCAAAAAGAATTGGCCGATGTTCAACCATTTTAGAGGTAGCATATGATCAAGAACCGATGGTACTGAAGGAAGAGATCCAAGCTGCACTGAAGGCTTGGCAAAAAACAAGGCTGCAGAAATTGACAGAATGCCATTTGAGATGTTGCAACAAATGGATGCCGCACTGGAAGTGCTCACTGATCTATGTCAAGAAATTTGAAAGACAGCTACCTGGTCGAATGACTGAGAGATCTGTATTTGTGCCCATTCTAAAGAAAGGTGATCCAACAGAATGCAGCAATTACCAAACAGTATCAATGATATTACACGCAAGTAAAATTTAAGATCACTAAAAAATGTTTGTAGCAGTATATCAGCAGGGAATTGCCAGAAATTTAAGCCAGATTCAGAAGGATATGAAACGAGGGATATCAATGCTGATGTCAGATGGATCTTGGCTGAAAGCAGATAATACCAGAAAAATATTTACTTGTGTCTTATTGACTATGCAAAAGCATTCGACTGCGTGCATCATAACAAATTATGGATAACATTGTAAAGAATGGGAATTCCAGAACACTTAATTGTGCTCATGAGGAACCTGTACATAGACCAAGAGGCAGTCATTCAAACAGAGCTAGGGGATACTATGAGGTTTAAAATCAGGAAAGGTGTGTGTCAGGATTGTATCCTTTCACACACTTATTCGATCTTTATGCTGAGGAAGTAATCTGAGAATCTGGGCTATATGAAGAAGAATGTGGTATCAGGATTGGCGGAAGACTCATTACCAACCTACGACATACTGATGATACAACCTTGCTTGTTGAAAGCAAAGAGGACTTGAAGCACTTACTTATGGAGATCAAAGCCTTCAATATGGATTACACCTCAACATAAAAAAAACAAAAATCCTCACAACTTGGCCAGTAAACAACATCATGATAAATGGAGAAAATATTGAAGTGTCAAGGATTTCATTTTACTTGGATCCACAATCAACGCCCATGGAAGCAGCAGTCAAGAAATCAAATGATGCGTATTACATTGGGCAAATCTGCTGCAAAAGACCTACTTAGGTGTAAAAATGCAAGATGTCTCTTTGAGGAGTAAGGTGAACCTGACCCAAGCCATGGTTTTTACAGTTGCCTCGTATACATGTAAAAGCTGTACAATGAATAAAGAAGACCAGAGAAGAATTGATGACTTTCAATTATGGTGTTGGTGAAGAATGAATAAATCTGTCCTTGAATGACAGCCAGAATGTTCATTAGAAGTGAAGGTGGTGAGATTTCGTCTGACGTACTTTGGACGTGTTATCAGGAGGGACCAGTCCCTGGAGAAGGACATCATGCTTGGTAAAGTAGAGGGTCAGCAAAAAAGAGGAAGACCCTAAATGAGATGAATTGTCCCAGTGGCTCCAACAATGTGCTCAAACATAGCAATGATTGGGAGGATGGTGCAGAACCTGGCAGTGTTTCATTCTGTTGTACGTAGAGTTGCTATGAGTTGGAATTAACTTGACGACACCTAAGAACAACAACAACAACAGCTACACTGTAAGATATGTATAGTCCCTACCTTTAAGAAACTTTTACCTTCTGAGGTATACTATAAAGCTAGAAGTAGTGAATTTTTTTTTTTTTTAAAGAGAGACAAAATATACACAGGGAAGAGTGAGAGAGATTGTAGCCATAAAAGCCAAAAGGTGAAATATTGGAATGCTTTTTATGAAATGTGTCAGTCAAGTCATTCTGAGAATTTTAATTAGAGGAATCATGTGTTTAAAGTTACATATATTTAAAGAAATATTGGACTTACATGAGTGAGGAGAATAGTCAAGGTTTTTTTGTTTTTTTAACTTTGAACAAAATTCTTGCCTTGACTTATTGAAGATGTTAGGAGTTGGGGAATGCTTCTTATTTTTGCGATTTTTCTGTATCTTTGGTAATATTGCCTTTCATTTTATTTGGAACCAACAGATGTCTCAGGAGTATTCTGCCACTTGAATATGCTCGTGTGTGGTGTGAATTTGCAAGAAGGTGGTGTTTTCCAAACTCCTTTGATTATAGGACACTTTGTTCATGAAGCGTGTATTAAAACTAGAAGTCACATGAGGAAATTGTTCTCTAATCACCTTAGTTCTGACAGGGAATTGACCATGCTTGTACTTCCTTTGATTCCCACTGAAAGCCCACACATCATGAATCCATTGAAATTCTGTGCATATAGGGCATCATGAGTGCTATATGCAAATGGGGCTACATGAACCATGGCAGTCTTATATATTACATGTATCTCTTTAACACACACACAACAAAT